TAGGCGTCCTGTGGATCGCCACAGTGACAAGCTAATCGGAAACTGGATGCCGCCAACAATATATATATATATATATATATATATATATGGGTTGACAGGGTAGCGAGAATATCATAGGTCATGATGAGTACAACAGTATAGTGGGCAACAAGTGAAATCATCGCGAAATACAACCGAGTTAGGTAAGCCCAATAAAGATAGGTTAGATGAGGCTCATCCGTTCTAGGCAGGTGTACTAAAGATACTACCTTGAAACAAGCGAATCACACACGTACACACACACATTATTCACGTTAGCTAGAGGTGGGAAACACAGCTACTATACCACAATACATAAAAGAAGGGAATAAAATGCTACAGGTGCAAGTCAGCTGAGCTACCAGCAACGGATGGGAATCGTTCTGGAAAGCAATCTGTCGGCTACTACGCAGCAAAAAAAGAAATTTCCAGTGCAAAATTATGAAATGTTAAATAATGAGATCGCGGTTCGAGGGGGAGGCTAAGAGGGATGGGAAGGGACAAAAAAACTCACAGCACAAACGCCACTGAGGTCGGCTCCCAGCCATGTCAGCAAGTGTATCTAGCCAAACGTGTCAGTCGTCTTTAGGACCCAAACCAAGGAGCCGAGACGCTCCAACTGAGGCCAGCTTCGAAGTGAGGGCCTTCACTCCTCTGAACCACGTCATCGCTTGGCCACCCCTCCTCTTCCATCCACACCCCCGGCGCGCAAACAACGCACGTCTCGGGAGTCGGTGGGCTAGCATGCGTAACACGTGGCAGAGCCATCGGAGTCTGGTGCGTGAAATAACCGTTCTCAGCGCTTCAGTTCCTTTTCCTGTGCCGCAAACAAGGAGTCGAACACGCTCGTTGCTCACGCACTATTCCCACCAGATGTGAGCCAAATTGCGAAGGCACCGATGATCGAACGTAACTAGCCTCTTCATGTCCGATGATCATAGGGGCCAGGTTTCACAACCGTACAGTAAGGTCGAACGTACCGCTGCATTGTACACTCTACCCTTCAGGGCGAGAGTGATGTCGCGCCAAAGCCATAAGTGGCGAAGACTAGCAAAAGCGCCACGAGCTTTGATATGCGATTTGTGATTTCATCTTCAATCCCACGAACGCTGGTACAACTTCCCAGGTAGTTGAATTTTTGAACGACTTCCAGCTGATCCCCACCAAGGGTCAACGCAGGAGGCGATCCGTGCCAATCTTGGAGGAACGCTTTGCACTTCGCTGATGCAAAGCAAAACCCGAAGCGGCTGGCAGTCAGTGCTAATCTGTTCAGCGCCGCTTGGCAAGTCTGGGAGCTGTCACAGATTAGAGCAATATCCTCAGCATACTCCAAGTCTATAAGTCGTTCTAAGGGAGCAGATCCACACCTTCCAGGTCGTGTCCTGTGAACGCGATTTCCATGACTTCGTCAATAGTAAAGTTTAAGAGGAAAGGTGACAGCGGGCATTTTTGTCTCACACCGCTGGAGATATTGAAGGGAGGCGACATCTTGACGTAAGCTCTCACTCTGCCCGTGCTACGCGCGTATAATGCTCGGATAATATTTACATATTTCTCAGGCACACCTTTCCTGAGTAGACAGTCCCAAAGTGCACGTCTATCCACCAAACTGAATGCACCTTTGATATCAAGGAACACGACAACGGTGGGCCGTCAATATATGGGACGGTGCTCCAACAACTGACGCAAAGTGAAGATATGGTCAATGCAGTCACGACCTCGACGAAAACCGGTTTGCTCTTCATGAATCTGGCGTTCACAAGTGGCAGTCAGTTTGTGAAGGATGACAGGGGCAAGCAATTTGGAGGCGATGAAGATCAGACTGATTCCTCTAGGGTTTCCGCATTCCGATCGTGAGCCTCCCTTGAAAATTGGGACTATGACGGAGCGGCTCTAGTCGGTTGGGACAGTTTCTTGCGCCCACAGTTTCACTAGTAATTCGGGTAAAACATTAACAAGAGCAGGACCCCGAATTTGAAGAGGACTGGATGAAGATCATCTGGTCCCGCGGCTTTGTTCAACTTCAATAGTTTGATCTCACGTTTGACTTCTGAGCGAGACGACGGATCCAAAGCGACAGCCCACGGAGCAGGGCGATCAGTGGCCGTTAAGAAATCTAACAATTCCGACCGATTAAATTGCTTTTCAAAATGCTCAGCCCAACGCTCTAAATGTTTTGACAGATTGTGGATAGGCTGTCCACTATCGTCACGTATAGTTTCACTAACACCAGGTCTCCTGCTGCCCGTGTCCCGTATCAGCCGGAATAACTTATGATGGTTACCAAGGGCAGCGACCACTTCCATCTCTGAAACACGATGGGACCATCAGGATTCGCGGTCTCTCTTCAGGCTAGAACGGAGTTTAGCACGGAGGTTCCTGCGAGTCTCATTGTGTTCGCTTCCAGTCGAAATATGCCGGCGAGCATCGATAAGTTCCAGAGACTACGAAGACACCCAATGTCTACGTTGGCTATCAGACTTACCACATGAGGATTTTCCTGCTGCTAGTAAGATCTGGTGAACATGCGACCAGTGGGCTTCAACTACATCCAGTGAGCGCTTGTTCAACTCGCATGACAGCGTACTTTGGTAGGCATTCAGAACAGCTGGCTTTATCAGTTGGCTAGTGTCAATGAGCTCACAACATCGTCTTGGGCGTCCGCCAAAACACATCCGCATGTCAGCACATACAAGTGCATGGTCGGTGTCTACACTCGCGCTCCAAATCCAGCGACAGTTATGGACGCAGCCTCCCCAGCGGTAACTTATCGCAATGTGCTCGATTTGCGTCCATAGCTGGTTGGAGGCTGGGGGGCGCCAAGTCACCTCCGGCAGGCGCTGTGCCGGAAGTTAGTGTTCGCAAGAGATAAGGGAGCATCTTCACAAAAATGAAGTAACCGCTCATCGTTATCATTATGGGAGCCTACACCGTGCTGACCGCCTAGACAGATTTCATCAGTGGATACTTTTCCAACTTGAGGGTTCGGATCTCCAGCCAGTACAACAGTGCCCGTGTTCCTTCGGTGGCGAAGAACCTCGTTCAATTGGCGATAGAAGTCGTCCTCTACCGAATCATCGCTACAGTTTGTGTGTGCATGGGCAGCGACGACGAATATACACCTGCTAGTCCCGCGCGACTTCGAAGCTTTGAACGAGCCAGCCAATCGGACCACACACATCGGGCTACTAATTGGGATCCAATCAAGCAGAGAAGCTTCAGCCGGGGGACTCAGGGCGATACCAACAACAGCTTGGCCGGTGCTCGAGGCTGCATTGTCACCGGATAGGCGCAATGAGACAATACTGCTGGTGTAACCTGAAGGGGATCGCAGAGTGAGCACAGAGCTCGAGTCTTGCAGGCGAGTCACCGATAAGCAGCAGATATCGATCGAGAGGGTCTCTAATGTTCGGGCAAGTGTTGGCTGTTGACCTATATGTAGCAAGGTGCGTACATTGAGGTATGTCAATCTGAACGATGATCGAGCGCTCCAAATGGAAGTCGATGAATTGGGCTTGGCCGCTTGCTTGCATATGGGTTTGTCGACAGGACAGGAGCGACGCTCCGGGTTAGCATGTGAGTTGAAATTAGATAAACGCCTATCAAAGCAAGGTGGGGGAGGGCCAATAATCGGGGGTTGAAAAATGGGGGGATAAAAATGAAGTTAGAACGGGACCATAAGGGAGGAAAAGCGTAAGAGGGGAAATAAGAGGATGTGAAGGCTTGAGCAGTAGCATCCAAACTCCTATCTACCCTGCTCGTTGCAGCAGATAGGGCACCGTTGATTATCATCTGCGGTGGCCAGAGCATCAGGAATTTGTTTGAAGAGAGATTAGTTGTATTGCTTGGGCAGGATACTGTCAGGTTACCCAGGTCTAGACAAAAGAACGATTAGGGCTCTCAAACAAAGCCTTTGGTTCAAAAACCTGACCGCAAGGCAGTAGGTTTGGTGTTGGGCTACAAGGAGACCGTTTTCAAGGAATAAGGAGGCACCTTCATTGCAACCCCTAACCTGGAGGACGAGGAGGCTGAGTTTGTATGGCCGTTAACCATTGACCAATCTGGTATGAGTGGCTGTGAAGGTGCAAAAGCACGAACAAGCATAGCTCAGTGGATCGCTGAGGCACACAAACCATCGCACAACGGTAAGGTCCGATTACATTTTGTACTCTTACCATGATCATACCTGTGCAGGCGTGCCTGGCGTAGTCAAGAATAAACATTTTATTTGTTTATTTAGCTGTCACAGGCAAAGCTCAGCATGAGCCGAGCACTGAAGGTGATATGTCCATATCCATATGGTAATGAGAATAAACAAATATGAAATGAGAAATTGTCGGAAGTGAAGGAGCGGGTACGGGAGTCCAGTTGAAGTCTCAATGGTTTGGTGAGGCTATTCGACTGATTCGACGTACCACAACATGTACCAACATGATAAACACTTATAGCGGCTTGCTTCATGCCCTGACTGCGCCGTCGTCCAAGTGATCTGGTGAATTCCCTGAAAATATCAACATCTTTGAACGATACATGTGCTTGTAGGCAGGCGGAAAAAAGGGGTTTAGTCGGTATAAGCGTGTGAAGTCGAAGAGAGAATACAGCGCATTCATAGGGTCCGTGCTACCAGAAATCAAGTGACGAAATTCAGCAATAAATAGTCGGTAGTCCTAACATACCCGTTGATGTAGTCTGATTTAAAAGGCTGTCTGAATTAGAACCCGGTGCAGTTCTACTTTAGTGTCTGTTATTATCAGTAAGAACATAAAGGAGGCTGCGACTTGTGGAAATGAAAATGCATATGGGTAGAGGTAAAACTTCCAATAGCCCGAGAAGTATGTGAACAGAAATACGTTAAGAGTTCTGTACACTCGGTGGGAAACCCCAAGAGCGGCGAAACATCGCAAATTTAACGACTGGTGGAACAACAAAAAACAGAAGGTTCCGTCATCGGCACGCCGGAATTCCAGATAAAAGCGGCTCACCGGTGTTCATGACACACTTATTCCACCCGGGTTCCTGCCAAGCGTCATCTCGTGACTTTTTTCGAGCCTCCAGGCTGCTATATGCTGAAGAATTAGAAAAGCATGAAACCGATAGTTTAGTTTGTAATATGTAGGCGATAAAGTAGCAAAAATGACGTTATACGAAAAGTGCTTACGAACACTACAGTTGTAGTGTGTGTATAAGCGATCTTTAATGTTCAGCCTGATCACAGTTCCATTAGTGACATTTGCTAAGCGCATCATTCTGTCAGATGAGAGACAGTCGAAAGTATAATGACAAGACTGTACAATGGGTTTCATCATTTTAAATTAAACCGGAGCTAAGGGTGCAGATTAGTGCGACATGAAAGATTGTTAAATAAACACAAAAGCTCAAGGGGTTCAGTAAAGTAGATATGATATAGAATACCGGATGCAAAGATTAGGGCACAGGAAAACTTAAGTTCTGAAACAGCGAAAAGAGTAACCAAGAGGACTCTGAATTGTGACCCCGGTTATGGTAAGAGATGACGACATCAACCAATAGGCCATCGGTACTAACCCCAAAGATGATGAACAACGTGAAGTTCACCGATATGGGTAAATAGGCCGGCAACGGGTTCTTGGTTTCTTGAGCGCAACTGAAGACCGCGAGCCCTGGAAAATGACACCAAAAGCGGAATTATCTAGGCGCGGTTGCCAAGGAGAGGAACTACAAAAGTAAACTAAGGAGTGCGAAAGAGACAATTAAGCTGTCCAGAACTCAGGTGAAATAAACTCAGACTTTCAACACGTGCAGATAGTTTACGCTTCAACAACGCGTCCGAACAATGCCGAATATCAGTTAACAATACGCGATTGTGTTGTCTTCAGGTTCGATAACCGCAATCCGCTGGACTCTTGTTTATGTAGCTGATATCGCTGACGAAACAAGAGCGTCATCATCTCTATAGATAGAACGGAGCGTATGTTTAGAAACTGAAAAAGAAAAATCCAATTGCTCTCGGACAGCAACACCAATGAGCCTACAGTCTTATCACAGATACACTAGGTGACCAAAAGTGATTGGGCATAAGAACGATTTAAATATTACGCAGATAGCAGTTTAAGCATAAAGATAACTGCGATCACCGCAGATACTAATGGCAAATATTGTCGCGGATACATGATAACACATGGCACAAATCTGAATATATGCGACATAGGGGATCAAATCGAAGAAAACCATTCGGCTGAAGTTTGCACCAACGATATCTTCCAGCAAAACGACCGATGTGTGTAAGTTGTAAACATTTAGTAAATTCCCGTGACTATTCAGGGCAACTGGAGGCCAAACAGGTAATGACGGCGGCATAAACATACGGTGAAACTTTGGTAGTAACAACAACGGATACCGCAGCACCTAAAGAGCTTCAGGAAAGTGCACGTGATTCCTACCTTCAAAATCAAGTAGAGTGAACCAAATGAGCTCACAATAATGTCTTGTGACCTTATGTACGAGTCTAGATCCGATGAACCTTCAATTGTGTCACTGACCAGAACTGCGGTCATACAACTTCCCGGCAATTTTAGGGGCACAAGCAAACTGGGCGAAAAAGACCGTGCCTACGAAATACAGCCTAACCTGTCTAAGGCGACGATACAAAGGATCGATAAAAAGTGGTCGCCTTGGATAAGCTCACTCATAGAAGCAAACGTCGAGGATGTTTTTGGCTGGTCGCCATAGATAGGTTGGAGTGTATCATCAACACCAACACAACAAGTTACCTGAAAGTGAGAAACACGCTTCAGCTAGTGTGCCGCGACACAAAAAGATAAGATATATGGAAAAACGAGATGCGAAACAAAACAGAACGCAATATAAGTACCGAAAATGTGATATGACGCCTGGCGTCATATTGCGCATCAGATGTGAGAACGTGATAAGAGGGAGAAGGACAAAGAAACACACAACACAAACGCCACTGAGGTCGGCTCCTAGCCATACCAATCAGTGTATCCAACCGAACGTGTCATCATCCTTCGGACATCAACTCATTAGTCGTGAAATAATAACTGACGCTAAGTTCGAAGAGAGGACATTCATACCACTGAACTAAGTATTTGTTTGGCCTCCCCTACCCCTCTTCCAACCGCACGCCCGGCGTGCAAACAACACACATCGCGAGGGTCGGTGGACTGACATGCACAACACGTGGCACAACCACCGGAGCCTGGTGTGTGAAATAACGGTGCTGAGCGGTTCACTCGCTCTTCTTGCACTAATTACACGACATTGCTCAGGCGGTGTTCCCACCAGACATCAGCTAAGTTGCGAAGGCAGCGATGATCGAACGTAAGAAGCCACTTTAGGTCTGTCGAAACCACGAGACTAGACCATAACATAGTGCGATGGTTTGCACGCTCCAACGATCCACTAAGCAATGCTGGGTGGTAGTACTTTTGCACCTTCAGAACCACTCATACCAGATTGGTCAGGGGTTAGAGGCCAGATAAACTCATCTTCCTGGCCCTCCGGATTGGGGATTGGAATGAGGATGGTTCCATGCACCATAAAACGGACGCTCTGTAGCTCAGTGCCAAAACTCCACTGACTTGCGGTCAGGTTTTTGAGCCAAAAGGCTTTGGTTGAGAACATTAATCGTTCTCCCGTCCATACCTTAGCAACCTGAGAGTATGCTGCCTACACAATACAGTGAATTACTCTTCTAATGATTCCTTAACACTCTAGACGTCGCAGAGGATACTCAGCGGTGTCCTATCTGCGGTATCGAGCAGAGTGGATAAAGGTGGGGATGTTAATGCCCAAGCCTTCTCCCTATAGAGCTTTTCCACTTTATCATCTCGTTCTAACTTCATTTTTATCCCTTCGGGATGTAGTCTTGCTGCATGCATAATCGGATATCTAGGTGACTCGATTAAGGTAGATAAATGGGTAAATGCAAAGTCCAATTGGTAAATATGATAAATCTTCAATCTAAGATTGACCACGTTAACACAGCTGCCGATCAACTGTGGAAAAGAACCAGAGGTTAGAACCTAAATAAAGCGAACTAAGGTTAACAGTGAACAAAATGGAATGTGTGAAATGTAATAACAAAAGCAACGTGCGATCTGGCGAATAGTATTAACTTTCTTGATATAGTGTGCCCCCATATAACATGAAAATAAATGAAATGGACCTGTGCATTAAATATAATAGTCATTTCAGTTGATATCATATGCTGGTTTGCCGGATCGTCTACAAAATACAGATCCCCCAAGTCGTTATTACAACTGAGCAAGCGCCACCGGTGAATCAGTGTCGTGTTCGAAAGGGATAGAGTAGTTCAGTAAGACTAACACGTGTCATGTAAATCTTTGTCCGCAGTCAGAAAATAGAGTAAATATGACACACTTATGGAGAACCATAGCATTAGGAGCAAACATGTCTTCTGCAACGCAGTGGACGATGAATCGAGCTACAACGCAGTTAGCCTACAAGTCATGGCAGCCTGCTGCCGTCATCAGTGGCCTAGTGGTGTTACCCGCTGGTATTGAGAGCATGAGTTCGGTTTCAAGTGGGGCTGGGAGGTGCACACAACTAATGAGTCCAAACAGGACGAAACGGCTGTCTGGCGTCTTTCTGAACGCTTTACAAGCCATCTCAGCTGCTGCGAAGAATCCTCAATAAATTATGCAAATTAGTTCTTGATCCAAGAAATACTACTGAACATCAAGTAGTAGACCGCTGGCAATGGCAGATAATAATGGTAGATGCAAGCATTTCTTATTGTATTCTCAGTAGCAGTAACAATAACTGATTTGCACAGCCATAGCTAACATTGGTTGCAATCAAACATGCTTGAGGTGCACAGTGAATGACGGAAGTTCACCCCTACATCCATGAGGTGAAAAAGAGGGCTGTTCACTACTAAATCTGACTGAATTGCTGATGGCATCACTGTTATAATGCGAAAAGAATATCGAGTTCATTTTCTGAACACACTGTAGCGCCAAATCGACGGCGTATCAACAAGTAGCCCATTAGGCCTTGTACTCGCTGATTTCTTCATGTTAATGATGGAAAGAAACATTTCGAGAGAAATAGCCCAGGTACCCTACTACAAACGCTAGGTTAACGATATTTTAGCCTTTTTTTGGTCGGAACAGCAGCTCACATAGTTGGTAGAGCACATTAACGGTGCATATGTTAACTTACGACTTACATGCGGAATAATTGTCTGCCATATCTGGACATCCGCATCAGCCACAGGGAGGATGGATTAAGAGGTCCTTTTGTAAAAAATTAACTTAGTCAGACCAGTACTTGCACTTCACCAGCTTCACACCAGTTCGGTACAAGCAAGCACTTGTGAAGACTCCAGGTAGTGGTGCCAGAAGAATTTTCTCGGCTGATTGTCTGGCCCATGAGCTGGCGTTAATTACAGAAACACTAGCGGCGAACGGCTACCCACGAAGATTTATCGAGAAACACAGCAACTGTGAGGGCTGAAGGAGTTGGTGAACATGGCAACCAAGAAGAAAGTATGCATCGAATTACCATTCCGATGTGACCTAGAAACGCTAAAGACAACCAAGCGTATCATATCGGCAACGCAAAGAAGTTACTACGCTTCTCAAGTCGTAATCAACCGTAACCGGTTTGCAGATACCTCCAACGAGGGGAGCTCAGCTAATCGGGGCCAACTCACATTGTGTATACCATTTGGTGTGTAACTAAGGAGCCAGTTACAGAGGCAGAATCCATAGGACTCTGACTTCCCGAATAAAGGAACATGTGCCAAGAGTGGTTCAAGACGAAACCACCCAGAACCCCTTAAGTCCCGTGCTCGCATATGCTGCCAGCTTCTTCGATAGGCAAACATCTGATCTCGGATCACCGGAGAGATCGGGGTCAGCATTCAAGGTTGTGTTGCGTCACGATAATCTTCGCTTCCATTGGTTTGCTGAGGTAGTCGAGATAAGCCCTGTGGATTCAAAAAATCATGTCAGCGTAAGACTACCATAGTCATAGTGTGAACTTCCGTCACTCACTCTGCATCTCAAGCATGTCTGGTCACACCCAATTTTAGCGCTATCTAGGTATATCAGTTATTGTTAAGGGTACTGAAGAGACAATAAGAAATGCATACACCTCGTCATCAACATCATTGTACCTTAGCTGAAAGTGAGAAGCACACTTCAACTGTTGTGTGGCAATACATAAAGATAAGACATACGAAAAAAGCAAAGTGCTGAAAAGTACACAACGCAAAAATGCAGACGACAGACTACTTAGTAATATATCATTCATCAAGAGGGAGATGGTGGTTGGAGAGGGAAATAAGCGGACTGGAGAGGGACAAGGAAAATCAAAGGATAAACGCCATTAAGGTCAGCTTCTTGCTATGTCAACTAGTGTATCCCAACAAACGTATTCATCGTCGTTTGGACCCGAGCCGGGCGGTCGGCACACACCAACCGATGCCAAAATCGAAGAGCCTTCATTCTTCTTGATCAATTCATCGATTGGCCACCTCTTCTTATCCTCCATCTAGACCTTCGGCGGGAAAAAACCCACGCCGTGGGAACCGGTGGGCTAGCATGCGCGACACGTGGCCCAACCATCGGAGTCTGATGCGTGAACTAACGGTGCTGAGCGGTTCATTTACCCTATCTGTACCACAAACAAGGCGTCAAACACACCCGTTGCTCACAAAGGGTTCCCACCAGATAAGACTCGTTCGGAAAATACACTTTTGACGGGGTCCGTCATTTCGTTTTCGCAGCCAATCAGTGGCCAATTGGAGTGAAGCCGTAACCATAGCAGCGCAGAGGTCGGGGGCACGCGCAGCCAAATGGAGTGAACAGGTGGTCATAGCAATGAGACCAGTGACCTTCGATTGTATCCAGTGAGCAATTACTCAACCCTGATGTCAGCGTGCGTCGATACGCATTCAGAACACATATCTTCGCCAGTTGGCTGGTGTCAATGCGCTCACAACGTCGTCGTGAGCATCCGCCAAAGCGCATCAGCAGGTCAGCACATACAAGTGCATGGTCGGTGTCCACACCTGTGCTCCAAATCGAGCAACAGTCATGGACATAGCCTCTTCAGCGATAACTTATCGTAATGTGATCGAGTTGCGTCCATAGATAGTTCGGGGCTGGTGGGCGCCAAGTCACCTCCGGCAGGTGCTGCGTCGGAAGCAAGTGCTCGCAAGAAATAGGCGTGCATCTTCACACAACTGAAAAATTCGCTCACCGTTATCATTATGGGAGCCTGCACCGTGTTAGCCACCCAGATGCAATTCATCGGTGGATAATGTTCCCACTTGAGCATTCAGATCCCCAGCCAGCATAACTGTGTCCGAGCTTCTTCTATGGTGAAGGAACTAGTTCAGTTGGCAGTAGTCGTCTTTTACCGAATCAACGCTAGAGTTTCTGGGCGCGTAGGCAGCGATGACGATTAGACACCTGTTAGTCCCATGCGACTTTAAAGCTTTGAACGAGTCAGCCAATCGGACCACACACAACCGGCTAATGAGTGGAATCCAATCAACCAGAGCAGCTTCAGCCCGGAGACTCAGGGCAATACGAACACCGACTTGGCCGGTGCTCGAAACTGCATCGTCACCGGATAGACGCAATGAGAAAATACTGTTTGTGCCATTTGAAGGGGATCGCAAAGTAAACACAGAGTCTAAGTCTTGCAGGCGGGTCTCCGATAAGCAGCAAATGTCGATTGAGAGGTTCTCTTATGTTCGGGCAAGTGTTACCTGTTGACCGATCTGTGGCAATGTGCGTACATTGAGGCATGCCAATCTGAAGGAGGATCAAGGGGTCCAAATGAAAGTTGATGAACTGGGGTGGACCGTTAGCTTGGACATGGGCTTGTGGACAGGGCAGAAGTGACGCTCTGCGTTTGCATGTGAGTTGAAACTAGGAGATAAACGTCCATCAAAGGAAGGTGGGGGAGCGCCAAGAATTAGGGATTAAAAACGGGGGAGGTAAAAGTGAAGTTGGAACGGGACGACAAGGTGAAAAAGAGGGGAGACTTGAGCAGTAGCATCCAAACCCCTATCCAACCTGCTCGATGCAGCAGATAGGGCGCGGTTTATTGTCCTCTCCGACGGCCAGAACAATAAAGTGTTTAATTACGGATAAGGATATAAGTATGATTAACTGCTGCATCGGACGCATTAAAAAACGAATGCAGCCTGCGAGGAGACTAAAAGTACACAGCAACCAAAAATAGTAAACTAGGCACATGGAGAAATAGCCCAAAATGCAGCGACAAGGCAACACAATCGCCAACGTAGTCTCGTTACCGGTTGAGCAAGCGGAAGCCATAGAACGCTGGATCTCAAGCACAGACTAGCTGTGACGTTAGTAAACGGAGAAGGTGCATAGCTTCGCAAACGTAACAATGATTTAAAACTGAGAATAAGAGCAAGTGCTTGACAAGTCATGTGAGTGGCCAGAGTGAGTATTGCAGGACCAAAGATAAAAGTGACAGGTGAAAAAGAAAAAGAATGTTCTGATGTTGACGGACGCATCAAATGACTTATAGATACAAGTTTCCTACCGCTACGTAGAGCACAGGGCTGATAAGTGCGTCAGTTGGTTCACGTTGTTCCATCTTCCGATTGAAACAGAATATACTGCGTAATGCAAATGGGATTGCGTTTCGTCATCCTTCAGAAAGTGTTAGAGTCATAAATGAGGTGAGGTGGAAGAGCGTGCCATGCCAGGGATACTCGAAGGGAAATTTCGTCGGCAAGCTAGCATACTGTACTGCGTGGCCAACTTTGGGCTGCTGGCGTCTCAGGCTTTTACAGTGGCTGAGTTGCCACAGATCGTGGAAAGCAAGTTTGGGGCTAGCCTATAATTAATACGTTCAGGTGAGATCACGTCGCAGACGCCTATACGCACTGTTATACAATCCAACGGCTTTCAGCTGCAGTTGGTAAGGAAGGCAAAGCAAGGCAGTAGAATCCTCGGTCGTCCTAAGTTGTGTAGATTCAAGTGCTCCAACATCGTGTTTCCGCAAAGGATGACAGGTTTGAATAGGATATTCCACATGAGGCTTCACGCATGCGTCCAGCATTTGTTGAAAGATAGAAGGTGCGCGATCCTGAATGTCTTCCGCAGGATACCAAAGTGTCGCATTGTTCTCGTTGCAAGGTCGACATGCATAATTGAGAACGCTTTCCTAGGAAGCAAGTTGCAGCGGTTACTACTTAAGCTGTTATTCGTATGGTAGAAACTTTGCACTCGGACAGATTGAAATGGATTAGGAACCGCGGTTACCAGGCATATGCCCTGTCGGAGTCGCACTGCAGTACGTGTGATCGTGTCTTATCCTGGTATCATGACAGATCTTGAGATCGCTCGCAAATAGTAGAAACTATAACTGCAGTACACTAACAAAATCATTCATGAAGGCTAGAAACAGATGCAGTCCCATTACCGATCATTGAAGAAAACCATATTGGACTTCAATCCAGTCAGAAAACGAGTTGTGGACTAGTGCATTCAGCTGACATTGAACGGGAAGTTGCTTACCCAACCCAAAAGAGGGTTACCAGTTCCCTATTTCCGAAGCATGTGAAGGTGAATGCGGTGGTCTAAGCTTTTAAGGAGTGCAGATAGATAACATCAACTTCTACTCTGGTACTGACAGATGATGTCCAGCTTTCTCGAGCTGACAACAAGTTTGTAGCGCACAACCGATTTCGGCGGCGACAATATGTTGCTACTCACAAGACATTTTATAAGTGCCGCTGCGATAAAATTTCCTCTAACCTAAGGCCAACGGGAGAACAGTTATTGGACAGTAATTACAAGGCTCTTCACAAATGCCACACTTGTAGATAGAAGTGACCACTCCATATTTCCACAGTGTGAAAATCAGTATTTCATCAAGATATCGCTGAAGAAACCAGGCCAAGTAAACCAATGGATGCAGAATGATGGCTATTCGATATATGTTGTTGAAGAATTAAAGAAGTTAAAGTGTCAAATCGTCATTCTTCCCTCCTACCCACTATTCCTGTTGAACTGATTTCACTCCAGCAAAGGAGAATCCCAGCCAACGCTTCAAAGCGATTCTGCTGGAGTGGTGTCTACTGAAAAGTGATACAAGTAGTGTGAAAACCAAGGGACATTTATAAGTCAACTAGGGATGTTCGCAAGCAGCTGCCAAAAATGGCAATGTAGGGGCGATCGTGACCAATAGGAAGGTCGATTGTGCGTCGCGTGATGGACATAAATGATTTGAAACCACTCGATGTTTCAACACCAAGCCATGGGCTTGAAAGGTTCTCTTAATGAAATAATGAGTTTTAATAAGAATTTACTTCCTCCCAGCCAAATCAAATGACATTCCCCTAAGATAAGCAAAGCTGTCACGCAAGACTTTCACTCGAACCCTTGAACATATACAAATCGAAAAGGAAAAGGCGAAACGGATATCAAAACTTAAGGCAAATTGACCAGTTAAAACGCGATATAGTCGTAATTAGTCAAGTGCGCATTATATGAGTGCCACATCCATTTGCCGCGCCCATAAATCAAAATAGCTTAATAAAATTCAATGATGAGATCAGTGTGCGGTGTGCTTACCAATGATTTCCCCATTCGATCATCCTGCCAGGCTAAAAGATTGGAAATTGTGATTGTAAACAACTACGGGGAAAGAGACGAGAATCGTTAAGAAACAACAATAATTACATTAAAAATGACTAACGAGCCAACATAAGAGTCAGCGTGAAACAATAAGTGATTCGTCTTGCAGGGGCAATCTACTTGACGTGTTAAAACGAACCCGTCAAGCATACACTGGAATAATGAAGAAAAAGAGAACAAAGGAAAGAAGCACGAGTAAGTTCTCCCCAGCAAACACAACAGCGTGTACATCGGTTCGATGAAAGCCTAGTTGAACCAAGTGCAACCAATTAGCGATGACATGGGTGTCAATACCTTCGTGTCAGTGCCATATCCGGCAGTGTTTCAGATACCAACATAGCCGAGTTCACGATCAACATCCTACTAGTTGGAAGGCGTTGACTACGCTTTGGTTATACCAGTTTCCTCATACCCTTGATCCACACCATTGACTGATCACCTCGCGAGGTTGCAAAAATTGGCGATGTACTAAGAAACATTCAAAGCTGGAGCAATCGATCAATCAAGAAGTGAGCAAAGCGGTTAGGCAAACACAGACAGTTCTGGTTCAAGTACCGATGTAATGCAACCGCAGAGGGTTTGTTGCAAAACAACAAATGGCGGACACTAGTCCTATGCATGTGGCGATTCGACTGGTGTCCGATCATAATTTCTCTCAATGTCCCAGGCGGGCAGTGACTATATGCTTGGCGCAACGTCGCGTAATGATATACAACAGATTGGGACATAGATTAATGTTCAGCATTCTCAACAAATGGTTGGAACTTAAACACTCAATACGAACGTTGGCGATAAGCGAAAAAAAAACCGGCCGTGATTTGGTCACCATAGGTAGGTGAAATAAGCTATTACTTCGAGTGATGTGCGGTGACCGCTTCACTTAGCAGATGTGAAGCAAAAGCCGAAGTATGCGATGTTCAGTATCAAATCATCTAAAAGCGTCAATAAATGGACTATATTAGACGCATACGTTTATCAACTAGGTAACTGGTACAGCTTCCACTAAACATACTGCAGTCAAGACAGTCTATCGTGATCAGTCCGATCAGATAGTCGACGAAGAAAATGGAATGCAGCAACTCGAAGAAAGGTCACTTGCCACAGAGGAATAGCAGGACTAGCACCTGTTAATGAAATATGGTTCCGATAGTAGAGGTTGGTAAATACTAGAAAAGAATTTTTGGTACAAACAAGCGCAAGTAGTCAAAGAAAAGGTTATTACTGACACAAGGAGGTCATGTGCTCTCTCAAAACTAAGCTTAATCGGTGCTAAGGCACCACCTCTCACGAAGTCACATATTCGCCTTCAAAGCGCACTCCGGCGTCGCCCAAAGCAGAGTGAAGCGGGGTTGCAGTGTAACCATCGTTCAACCAAAATGATGCCCGACGTGGAGAATCAATTGCACTACAAATTCGCGAATGTACAACACTGCATTTACCTTTGGCCGAATCAGTAGAAGCTCACTCTCGCCAAACGTTAGTCTTTCTCTGATTCACAATGCAGCTGTAGTGTTGACATTGGTCACTCGTGCGTAGTGTTTACTTGTTAGGCGGCGGTCGCACACATCGTTCCTTTAGCGGTTTGGAAACGCGGGGCCGTACTCGATCTGAACTCCGTTCAGCTAGTATGACCATGAGGAAACAACAAAGAGGCGGCCGACCGTTCAGTAACAGCAGGAGCGACATAACGATAAGCAAAAGCGACTATAGTAGGCCGTACAAATAGCTGACGTAGAAGTAACAAGTGACGAATTGAGAACATTGGATCAATGTAATCTCTCTTGAAGTTAAAGTCAGTTCATCAATCATGCCAGCCTCAGCGGTCGTAGGTCTAGATTGAGATGACGGCTGAGAGACCTGCAGCACCACATATTTACAACACCGATTCGTAACGAAGTACAAAAGGACCCTGGTTGTCACAGCCAAGTGGTAAAGCGATCGCCGGAAAGCGAAAATATGATTACTGGACGAAAGCAGTAAGAGATATATCTGTGCAGCGGCAACTAAAATCCCGCACGCATACTGAACAATTGTGTTGGCGATCATTTCCGATAGTACATACAGGAAACGTGTTTGTTAATGATTTTGCTGAATTACAACACCAACTTTGTCTCAACTACGTGCAGGTAATTTGTTACATATATTCATCATGCTGTGCATGCAACTTGAGACGTCGTAACTGTGAATGGATCATTGAGGCGTCGATCAGCTTGTTCGAAGCAGGGAAGCATGTTCTAATGAACACTGAGTTCTAGCGTGTCCGTAACTCTGAAACGGCGCATCTCAAGGAGTCTTCGAACCGAGCGTAAACGTTGGTGGGTAGCAAATGCCCGAGAGATGGAGAAAGCCGGTGTTATTGGGAACAGCCGAGTGCCATTCCAGCTCATCCGGAACACGGGTCTAAGAAAGCCATCCGTTAGCGAGACAATAGATGGGAAAGATGGACTATTGATCGATTCTTAGCGTCATGGACTAGCTCGTTGGGCGGAACATTTTGAAGAGCAGTTCAGCAGGCCTACTGCGACATTGCCGCTTGCCGAATCGCGTGAACCGTCGTGGGAAGTAGATGTCACACCTCCTACTATGGAAGAGATTTGATATTAACTTTCCGTGTTGAAACGAAACCGCTCCCGTACCCGACGACCTTCCTCCATCTTTGCTGAACGATGATGGTGACCCTTTGTTGACTGGACTTACTTCTCTATGTAATACAATTTGGAACATTGAGACGCATCTTCAGACTGGCGACTGTCAACTGTCGTGCCCATCTTCAAGAAGGGTCAGCGTACTTGTGCGAAAATCATCGAGGCACCAGCCTTGTTTCCGTTGCCTCCAAACCCCTCATGGGTATCATTCTCCGACGAATTACTGGTTCCCGCGAGAACCAAGTCACTGAAAGCCAGAATGGCTTCCGCCCTGGTCGTGGTTATAACGACCACATATTTACTCTTCACCAAATGTTAGAGCAGAGACACACTTACAAACGACCGACTGGTGATTTTCCTTGACTTGAAAGCTGCCTTCGACGCTATGACCGCGCCAGCTTGTGGCGCTGCTTATCCATGAAGGGTGTGTCGGCAAAATTCCTTTCCGTTCTTAAGTCCCTGTATCGTGATTCCCGAGGCTGTGTAAGGATCTACGGGAAAATGTCTCCTGAGTTCTCCACGACAAGCAGAGTTTACCAGGGTGGTCCTATTTCTCCTGCATGTGGTCGAAATGATTATGAGTAAAAGTTCTGCCTGGTGACCGACTAACAAACCTGGAGTATGCGGACTACATAGTTCTCCTTGGGTCTGATGCATTGAATATACAAGCACTACTGCACAGATTTGTGCGTAACGCTGTACGCTTCGGCATATAAATTGTATCTTCAAAGTGCAAAGTATTGCTGCAGGACCGGACCGACACCTCCGATTTTAACTATCACCGAACTGCCAATGGAAGTGGTGGATCGCTTCCATCACCTTGGTAGCTGTGTCATCTCCGACGCTTACATCACAGTGGAAGTTACCTCGCGTATCAGCATGGCCCATGTGGCTTTCCAAAGACACAACAATCCATGGAGACGGCGGAATATCAGCATGTCAATGAAGGTTGGGTGTTTAACGCTGGGGAAAAGTCGGTCTTACTGTATGGATAAGAGAGCTGGCCAGTTCACGGCGAAGACATCAAACGCTTGGTTGTGTTTGACCACCAATGCTTGCGGAGTATTGCTCACGTTTAGTGGGAATATCGGATGAGCATTGCTGAGATCCGACCGTTGACCTTTAGCAAAAAACCTTCTGGTGCCTCTCTCGTGTGTTTGCTGAATCATAACCGGTTCCCTTGTCTTCCGTATGCCCGCTGATCGTCTTCTTCGGAGTGCATTATTCGCCGTGGCCGCACCAGGTTGGGCGAAACCGCGAGGTAGCCAATCCATGACTTGGCATGGTTGCATGAAGTAACTGACTGAGAGACTTGCTTACGCTGGTGAGTACCGTCTTCCTAGGATGGAGGACTCGGGATCGTCCACACCAATGGTTGGAGACCGTATCAGAGATGGCGCAGTCACGCAGTTGGTGGCGTTCGTGCATTCGGTTTCTTTCATCTGATTAGTTTAAAGCAAACCCTGCTTACAGTTGCTTTACATTCTAGTTGCCTTTAGCCCCACTATCTTGCCGTTGTTATTTATCGTTATTCTTGCGATGTAAATAGCAGTAATTGGGTCCATCGCTCTTCGGTGCTCGGATGATAGTTGATCAAATGAACTGAACGCTAAAGTGGAGCGATTTACGAACTCTTAATGTGAAAAGACACTGGTTCGTCTTATGTTCAAGGTTACGAACTACGAGATACCGCTTCACCCGACATAATTCACAGCAGGAACGTGGCCGGTAAAAGAGAGGGGTTTGCCGCATCTGATAGGACTGCTGTTTACAACATGCAGGCATTAGATGAATATACCTAATTAGCTTTACAATGAATAAGGGACGTGTGAGCGAATCTGTGGATGGTGCAGTGCAAGTCGCTCGTGATAGTCCTACAGGTAGCTGATATTAGTCATAGTGGCAGGTTAATCTGGAAACGGATGACTCCAAAAACTATCGGTTTACTACGATAAGGGTAATGAAGTAAACAAGAGAATTGCTTCATCGAAGCTGTCTCAACACGATAGTCAGTCGTTGTGACAATGGCAATTCGTGAACGTCTCTGTTCTGAATGTTAACTCTGGGTATCCGGGTAAGTAAGGCCATGCATCTATTTATAATTATCCGGCAGCGAAGCACAAGTGTGAACTATTTAGTGTAGTTAGCAATGGTAAAACTATGTAGAAAAAGTACTCACTTTTAGGGAATAAGTCCTGAGTTCATACAGGTTGCGCCCAATTGGTCGCGGAGCAGGACTGGGCCAAAAGCTGAAAGCTAAACAAATCTGGTTCTTTCCGGAATATAGCACCTGGTCACGCCTTTGCCTGTAATCCAAAAGAGTCTAAGAATGAGAAAAATTGTATTGCAATACCTGATCGTGCTTGCACATATCTAGATGAGTAGCCAGGCAGGGGTAGCCCCCAGGATACTTCCAGAGATGATCTAAAAGTAATAATGAGGAAAATAATAAACACGTACATGTGGTGTTTTGTCGCCCGATCTCACATGTCCAACTGCCTAAGAGCACCGAAGCACTGCCGGCTTTAACAAGTGCATTCAGGAAGCATTCACTTTATGAGAGATTACACAATAATGCTGGGGCATACAAATCTTTTAAATAATCTGTCAGGAACTGAGGTCTGACATCATGAACTTGCAACTCGTAGATGGTATCCGCATCTGATAGCAGATCCGACTGGGATTCCTGTGAATCATTACGGGTAATCATGTTCCTTAGCCAGCTTTCTCCTCTATCCATCTTAGAGGACGATAGCCTCCATATGTTATAAAACACACATGGGGTCTTCTTAGCGAATATCCAGGGGTCAAAGATTAGTAAGCGTGGCATGGAAAATATAAGGTGCGGTTAAACAGTATTATTAGTTATAGGACAGTAAGGTAATGCGCAAATGCACAAAGCTTTAAGGGATATCCTCCAAAATTATATGAAGCGGTTAATCGAAATTTCAATGTGCACCGGTCCAAAAGAAACGAAGCTTGTCGACGGGCTGAAAAACGGGAAAAATATTTCTGGCGACAAAATGAAGTAAGACGGCAGACTGAAACATCATCAGGCACACAAAGAGAACAGCGATGGGCAGATGGAATCTCATCGGCAATAGTCTACTGACATGTAACAGAGAGGTAAAAAACCACAACAGAACTGAGAGGCGCAGAAAACAAATCCGTGTTCAAAGTTCCCACAAAAATACATCCTATTAACAGTAGCACATCAGCCATTTGGACCAATACTTCGCTATTATACAACCATGATGACATGTGGAACGAAGAATAATGAGAGGAAAAGGGTGACATACCGAAAAACCTTAATGTCCTAAGCAAATAGTCAGGGTCAAAGCGCATATACCTTGTCTCAACAACACAACGCCATAAACAGCTGGTTACCATGCCAAAATAAGGCGGCATCAGCCATACCGTTTCAATTCTGCTTTCACTGCACCACGTCATAACCAGCCGTTACCACAAATATAACTCAGCACCAAAGACACTTTAAACAGGCAGTCCGACTAGGATACCGCAGCAGACGCACCACTGGTGTCGACTGCGAGCCATATACTGTAAACTCTCGAGCTAAGTACAAAGCGAGTCACATGGACTCCGGTCCGGAAGGCGCGACGGACTGAGGGCACCACTTTCGTCGTCACTTACTTTATTTCCCGGTGCAAAGTGCACTTCTTCCCACCTCGAGTCTTGTGCCACTCTGCATCTGGCAAACAAAAGAGGGCCCTCCTCGGTATGTGGCTACCGTGCATATGTAGTATGTGCCCAAGCCAACGCAGCTTATTCATTGCTATCTTCTGTTCTAAAGAGCTAGCTTGGTTATCACTGCTTAACACTCGCCTACGCACATTATTATT